GGCTGCTAAATGCTCCACTAGTATGTCTGTCTGTCGTTTGATGTTAGCCAGTTAGCGTACTATGGTTGCCACTAATTATGGTTTATACACAGCACTCTTCATTACAAATTAACAGTGACATTTTGATTAATTGCACACTGAAGTACGATGGCATTTAATTATTCGAATTAAATATTAATCAGTTGAGTTTCAGGAGTTCATTCATTAACTTTTTTTTAAATTTGGCAGTTAATCCTCCTCTTTTCTTTCCTCTTATCATGCAGGTTGTTCTGTTTCTGGTGGTGGCACAGCTGATGAGGGACCAACCATTAATGCAAAATCAATATCAAGTACTGGATAAACACTAAAGACACTGTGGGAAATGAGAGAGCTTCAAACAGATATAATAATACTACATGTCAATCACATCGCGTAAATGTGCATAAAATTTTAATTGCGATTGCTGTTAGAATGGTTGTTGCTGTTGTTAATACAGCTTTATTCCACCACACTACACAACATGTAACATAAAAGTGGAGAAAAATATTAATTATTGGTATTTAAGATACCAAAAAGATGACAATAATTAATGGGAAGCTGGTTATTGCTTTAAATATACTGTTGCATGTCTGGGCAGTTCTTCATGATGTTTCACATCTTCTGTTTGGTGAATATGAGTTGCCATCAGGTTTAAGGTAGGCCTTACCTTCCAGCCCTGTTACATTGTGATACCCTGGATGTTATTTTTGTATACAGATCCCTTTTTACTGTGTCTATGTGAAATTTTTAATTTTATTTCTCTGAATTCTCTGCTGATATTACACTTGTATTGCATATGTCATAATCTTATCTTATATTTACATTTCCTGTCTCGTTCTGTATATTCACTCATACATTGTACCTAAAATTAGAGTGTCTCTGCAAACATTACAATATACCAAGTATGTGTACTACATACCACACTGTACCTGAACCTGCACTTCAATACACTGATTAATCAGCATCTTGTTTGAGCTCTAGTCTTTGTTTTTTTATCATAATAGACACTTTAGCAAAATAATTATAGTGCTTCCAAAATGATTAGTGATCCTGTTGATTATCGCAAAATTGAATACTGAAATATTTGTTTTATCCTTCCTGACCTTATTAAAACCCAATATGTGGACATGTATTGAAAATGTAATTCCTCCCGCAGGTACAAACTGAGCTTTATTATGTTTGGTGGTCAACTTGTAAGCAATTCCTATAAAAGCTGGAAAAGCAAACAGCACATCAGGGTAAACTCTATGACTAATACACTATTTTTGTTGCAGCAAGCCTTTTTTCCCACTGTACGCCTACAACACTGTGTGTACAAGACCTAAACCATGTTGCTGCAAGAAAATATGTCTGTTACAGCCATGTTTTATTCAAATTAATCAAAAGTTAATATCTCCAAGAAAAAAAAGGAAACATTTTAAAACACTGATTAAATTATAATTCCTTACAAATTGAAAATGATCTATGGAGTTGCATCAAAGTAATAGCATATTGTTTTTACATGGAGGGGTACAGTCGGTTTTTGAAGGAGCTCTATGACAGCAATAGTGCATGTCGACCCGTGGATTGTGTTGATGTGTCGACCCGTGGATTGTGTTGATGTGTTGATGTGTCGACTCGTGGATTGTGTTGATGTGTTGACCACGCTGTCTCTTCTGCAGAGGCGTGGCTGGACGCGAGTGGGCGTGGCGGGACTGGTCACGTAGCTCCATCTTCTGTGTCTTTACTAACGTGAGGCCGACTTGGAGGGAAGGGAACGTCGCTAAGAAACAAAAGGGGCAAAAAAACAAAAACAAAACAAAAAAAGTAGCAGAAGAGAGCAGAAACAGAAACTACCCCCCTTAAAGCTGGTAAGAGTCCACATCTTGCTGTATACTTTGACATGTCGATGTTTGTGAAGCACGAATCGCTTGCCATGCCTCTCTCCCGCGGCCCTTGCAGCCTATCGGTGGCTAACGTTAGCCTCCTGTGGCCTGTTAGCAGGCCGCTGTGGTTTAAGCGCGGGGACTGAAACGCGTTCATCCGTCGCTCTCCAAAATACGGACACGGTGCTCTCACCAAAGCTAGCCGGCAAGAGGTCGCCACGTAATCTAAGTCTTCTTTTTTGTTTTAGTGTTTGTGTTGTCTGTGTGCGCTGGGGTTTTTAGGGTAGTAAACACTGCGCCCGTGTTTTTTTGCCCGGCCTGTCTTGGACGTGTGTTTTAAGGGTTGCACCTTGTTATCGCAGAAAGGCAGCGAGCATGCAAAAGCTGGAGAGAGTGTAAATGCTAGCGACGCCAAAGTCAGGCCGCTGTACACGTTTCCAGATCAACACCCGTGAGTTGAAGCCGTAAACAAAAACAAGGTTGAAGCATTAAACGAGAGGTTGTGGTTGCAGGAGGCCTCGTTAAACGACGTCTGTTGTAGGTTAATGTTAGCCATTATCGCAGGACCAGAGCTCTGGCGGTAATGTGGAGGAAATGTCGCCCATTTGTAGCACTGTGAAATATTGGACGCATATCACACTGTTTTCTGACAGTATTTGCTGCTAAATAAGATGGATTAAGGTTGCTCATCCAGAGAAAGCAGGTCACACTGTGAGGACACCAGCGGATTTTTCTAATATACCTGAGTTATTCATTCATTCATTCATTCATTCATTCATTCAAATGCCCGACCCTCCAGTCACAACAGCTCCACTCCTCCCTAGACTAGTACTGGTGCTTAAAAACTGTAGGAGCACCATTGAATTGATATTCATCACAACATACCCATGCGTTCTCCATTTTTAAAGTTGGCCACCAATGCTTTAGTATGAATGAATGAATGAATACAGAAAATATATTGCTTTTGTTGTTGCTGAGTCTTTGAGACATTAATGATGTGGACACAAGCTTACATGATTTGTTATATTTCTAACTGTTTTGTTTCATCTGGAGTTTCTTAATGTGGACCGTGATCACACTGTGGTTATGTCAATGACATTT